ACGATAAAAATTCAATAATGGTTAAGATCGTGAAAGAAAAATTGAATAAATTTCATGTCGACTTTCAAAAATGTTCTCATTGTTGATAATTACAGTCAATACCAGTTTATCTTACGAGATCCAACAGTTTTTATGATTCTGTACTTGAAGATTTAACAGGTGCTCTATAGATGTGGGTATACACGGCCCATATATATACCCCATACACACACGTACACAAGGCTAGTTTATTCCTTTTCAATAGGGGCTGTAAATGATTTATTTTGAAAGAGTTTGGTATAGAAAACATTTAATGGTTAATTACTTTGAATCCTTTATCAATCTCTATACAATGTCTGACATTTATTTAAATGATAATATCATTATATTTGTTAGCACAGCTAACGGTTAAACTATAAAAAATAATATAAAGGACGTTATTTATTTAATATTTCCTTTTATATTTTTTAAGCAAATGCTTAACAATCATTAATATATTTTTCTCAGTTCAATTTACCGATTTTTTTGTAAACATTATGAATTAAATGACTTACTCGATTAATTTACTTTACCTAATTTACCGTTAAAAATTAAAGTAAATGCCAATTCTGTATCTTGGTCATGATTGTGTGCATAATCCCTTCAAAAAATCGTTTTCGTTCTTCTGATATACAGGATTTGTTTTCGTCTTATTATTGTTATTTTTTATTATTATTTTCTTTTTAAGGTTTAAGTCTATGAATTGAAAATGTTTTGTTAACCAATAATTGCGTTATGTCAATAAAATGGTTATAAGTACTACTGGAACATACAATGTCACACGAGCATAAATTGTATGTTTTATTTACAAACAAAGGTAAGGAATAATTGGATTTTTATATGTAGGGACACACACAACAAACTCGTTCTCGAGTGTGTCAATAGCATGTAAGGACATGACCAACAACAATCAACGTCAAAAGCACAGGTGTGAAGTTTACAGGTAAAACCTGCAGGCCCCCACCGGACATGTACCCCGGGGGTCGGGCCAGTTGTACCGCTAACGGCCATCACACACCCCGGTATGACAAGAACATGTCATTTTCACCTGTCATCTTTACCAATTAGCCACCTGAGCACTTCTCTATAATGATATTTCTTACTTGTCGCCCCGGTTGGAGTTGAACATGTCTGGTGATCTGGTCGTTATTGATTTTATAATGATACCGTAGTGTTAATAGTTTGTAAGTGCTTAAGGGAGAAAATATATAATCATCATTTGTCTTGTGTCCATGTTTTGCTGAAGACTCTTTATTATTGACAAAATTTATTATAATAAAATACAGTCAAGGCCAGTTAAACCATCATTGTATTTTTGATATAGCAGTTCAATTTTGATCTGTATTTTATTCCAATAAATTAGTTGCTAATAAATATATATCTAAACCAATGGAAAAATCATGCATCAGTCGGAACAAACAAATACTTTCTATTTACATTTATCTATAAGCATTCTACATAAAATGCGGATATCAGGAAAAGGTTCCGACTCTGCCTTTATAACATACCCGCCGCCCCTTTAACGCTATTAACACTTATAAACGGATATTCCTCGTACACAACATTTCAGACATGAACAATATCCTCCTATCATTATCATCTTGATATGTATTTGATAAATAACACAAGAAATTGGTGTTTCAATAATTGAAATAAAAGCTGCAGTTTAAATAATTAATCTGGAATAAATTTTCAAACATTGTCAATGATTCTATTTCAAAATACGGTCCCTTAATTATATTTGTAGAAAGGAATATTTTAATAAAAATATACAATATCCTAATAATTTGAGATTTTAAATCCTTGTGGCTTTTTCCTTTTCACTGCACACTGATTTGTTGGTAGCCTCTGACAATGTCTGCACATCATTCGTTAGCGCGAGGGCACGTGCATGGTTGAAGTGATGCACGTGCATTTGATTAATACTATTATTTTTCCTCTTAAAAATCTGACAGCTGATCCAAAAAGCTTTTAGATAAAATAGAAATAATATTTCTATCTGTTACCGACCAGTTTCAATTAACAAATTGAAGAAAATAAAAATTGTTAATCTTGATCTATAATTATGCTGATGAATATGAATCGGTATTAACACCGTGCATAAGATGATTACTTAATAACAACTTCTATGTAAAACTCGCGTTGCCGTGTGTACCTCATTATTCCTAAACCTTATACATTGTTTGTAAAGATCTAATTTTGATTATACATTTTTATCATAATTGTATATATATATATATATAGAATAAAAACTATAATATATAAAGTCCTTCAAATTTAGACATTTGTAAATATGTAAATGAAATATATGTGCCTGACATCTGTGCACGATGCTTAAATAGGAAAAGGATATATATATATATATATAAAAGAATGTAAACAAATCTTGTTGATATGTGAGATGTAAGTCATAATTTTGTAGCAGGACGTCGCGTCTCTGTCTGTATTCCTGTATGCTAGAGAACCTCCTTTTCCTTTTCGTGACATTTCCAGTGCATGGAGGCTTTTTCTTATCAATTATGCATAGCACAGAAATACACGAAGGCACTTTGCTAATAATTTTCTGGTTTCGGAGTCACACTATATATTCATGACCGTGCAATTTCACGGAGAGAAAAAAACGGGTTCGCCTCGTCAATTAGAATGTCTATCGTCATTTCATAATTAATAGAATACTACAACATCAACCTACGTTTATCATTACAGGTGAGCGCAGTGTTTCTTTATGTATCAATAATCCATGGCGAGTTTGCTAGTGTGGACATCTGGGCAATGGCTACAGTAAAATAATTTTCCTACTTACGAATATCAAGTGTGATTTTCTAAGTACACTTGTCCAGATATTGTCCAAAATCCTTGTCATGTTCGCCTGTTTGTTTCACACAAATGCAGCATATGTAAGTACATTTTCGATTTTTGAAGTCCTTCAAATTTAGACATTTGTAAATATGTAAATGAAATATGTGCCTGACATCTGTGCACGATGCTTAATCCCTTCAATCGTATACGGGCAATCCGTTCGAGATTTGTTCCCGAGGTCGAGTCACAGGATCGGTACATATAAATAATATATCTAGTCAGTATTTGATACACAATGTAAATACTTCTGCCTCCTATAGTCATACATAAGAACAAAAACATCTTAATGAATAAATCATTATTTTGTACGAATGAAATATTCCTGAATGCAATACAAATCCTGAGCACCATGTACAGCTTTTGTTGTTATCAGTTAAAGAGGATGATAAATACACAAGTAGCCGGTTCTATGGGACAATACCTAATTCCTTTCAATGCAGTCTTAGCCACACACATCTATACACACGTATACATATATAATCATTTAATTCCTTTAATGTACTGAAATTATCGACAACTTACTATGGACGCGTTTACTATAAAATACGCGTGAAATTTTCTGTAGTAATCAATTTCAGGTCTCTAGCTTTGTTACTGCAGCCAGACACACATTTCCCATTCATGAATGGCCATAGTTGTTGATTTCATTCAACTCAAATCTGTAGCAAGACACATCGAGGTGCTGAGGTTACGATTGTATGCATTGTTTCGCATATACAATGCGATAGATATTACACTCACAATGCCTATTCTCGTACGCTTTATATAGAGGTAATACGACCGGGTATAGAAACCGACGATAGGTTATATTGTAACTTAACACCCGTTAACTGTTACGAATTACTTTCCATTGAAAACGAAGGCAACTGTAGCACAATATGTAACGGTTTGTTCGCTCGGCTGTCAACTACATTTCATTGCAAGATGTTGTATTAAGAAACAACTGTAAAAAACAATCCTGTACTAATTGGTTGACCGTTCAATTATCATAGGATTTTAATGCTAAAAGCAAATAAAATCGTACTCCTGGAATAAAGGGAGCTCTAAGTATATCTACTCCCGTGTCGATGTACTTAGAGGTAAACGGTGGCTTAAACACAGGTGTCTGAAATAACGAATCGGGATGGATTCGTACCAGTAACTGTTTCCTTTCTAAAAAAAAAACTAATTATTTTTCGATTTGATAGAGGTAAAAATGAACGTATGTTATGGAAAAATTGAGATGTACTTTATATTTATATATTTCAAAACACACATTTTGTAGTTAATACATTTAACCCATATGTTAATTTTGTAAAGTACATTTCAATATTTTTACTATTCTGCTTCAAAATTTATTCATTGAATCTTCAAGAGGCAGTTGTTGTATAAATAAAAAAAAAAACACTTCGTAACAGAACTATATAAATTCTGTATTTCTCTGGCATGTTGATAACACAGATGCCTAATGATGTGTGTTAAATGTGATTTTGGGAAATGAATTTAAAGAAAAAGGATATTTGAAAACTTCTACAACAGTCCTTTTTTTACATAGATTGTTGATAATACCACAATAGCGGTTTAAAATAAGTTGATACTTTTCGCACAAACAAAACAATCTCTACAGTATTTTTATATTTTTTCCAACGGTTATAACCAGAAAATAAAGTAAATATTTCACTATATTATAATATTCTCACACATTTCTATTTCGTATTATTAGTAAGCGTTCCTTTGAAACTAACAGAAAGAACTTTATTAAAATATGTATTTAAATTTGATTGACATTAAATTTCATCTCATTCCACAACTGACCGTAGTCGTTCCGTTTGACACCCCGGTCAAGAAATCTGCATTTCAATAGTTGGCTCGTCCCCATTTTCCATGGGTTGAACGAAGTTCAGTTGAAACTATTCACTCAGTCGAACCGTCACACAATGCCGGTTACCTGTTAGCCCCGCCCACAATTTTTCTCACCTTGCCCACCACTGAAATTTATTCGCGGCAGTGACACGCAGAACTCAGGAAATTAGCATAGCCTAATTTGATTGGCCGAGAGCGTTTCTGTTTGTTCGCCTCACAATCGATAACCATGTGTTCACTAAAGCATATTAGGCAAAGAAAAAGAGGTGCTTGACTATAGGAGACGTTCTTTTGAAACGCAGAGAAAAGCTGTGGAGATTTATCAATTCTATCTTCTTCTATTGGACTCGGGTCATATTCATAGCCATTGGACTTCAACAATACACGCAGTTATAAAGAAGTTTGTGAGCCGGTATTGGAAGCTACTGTTTATTTACACGACAAACGTGACTTGTATTACTCGATAAACTCGGCTATCGTGTGTTGTGTTTGTGACTACCCACAGAATATGGAGCAGGACATGTCTAAAGCTCAGTTACAACAAACTCTCGCAGGGGTAGGGGTTTCAAACCCGGGGATGGGGCCGCCACACCAGGCCCATCAGGGACACCCCCAGAATCACCAGGTTCATACGGCACCCCACCCTCACCAGGCTCACTCCCCACCCGAGCAAACGAACATTTCTAACGGACAGGGTGGTGGGGGCCTTACGGCTCAACAGAAGAAAGACTTAGATAGGGTCAAACGCCCTATGAATGCTTTTATGGTGTGGTCGCGAGGTCAGAGAAGGAAAATGGCACAGGAAAACCCCAAAATGCACAACTCTGAAATCAGTAAGCGACTCGGTGCGGAGTGGAAACTTTTGACGGAAACAGAAAAACGTCCGTTTATTGACGAAGCTAAGAGGCTCCGTGCTATTCACATGAAAGAACACCCCGATTACAAATACAGACCACGAAGGAAGACAAAAACTCTCATGAAAAAGGACAAATACGCACTACCCGGAATGCAGCCCGGTGCTCCGCTCCAGCCCGGCCGTGACGGCGCGGGTATGTATCCGATGAACGGGTACATGCCAAACGGTTATATGATGCACGACCCAAACGCGTATCACATGGCAAACCAAATGGGACTTGCTGGACAATATGGTTATCCGAATATGGCAACACAATCTATGCCTTCAAACCAAATGACAACTCCATCTTACATGAACGGATCACAGAGCTACACGATGTCAATGGCATACGGAGCCATGCCATCCTCCCAAGTCCCCCAAACGTCGATCAAACGGGAACCACAGACCGGAGGGCCGGGACAGCCCGTCCCCACGGGAGGCCGGAATCCAGGGGACCTACGGGAAATGATCAGTATGTATTTACCGGGGGACGCGGGGGAGCACCATAGTGCTGCAGCACAGCAAAGACTAATGCATCAATCTCATTATCAGCCGTCAGCAACGGAAAATAGTACTGTTCCGCTTACACATATGTAACTTTTTATCAAACGAAAAAATAACAATTTACATCTACACAGTATATTTGAAAAAAGTCTAGTGTGTGTGTGTGTTAAAATATTATTATGAACTGATTTTAAATCTATAATCTTCACGAACTTTTGCTAGACGTGAATTATGAACTAATCTTTCCCCCCATTTGAATCGTCATATTACTAGAACAATTAACTGTTGATATGATTATATGTGGTGATTTATATGAACACAATGTATCGCCTTTGACACGATTAAGAAGGAATTCCTCAATTTTTACTTTTAGGAGGCGATCAAGTACCTGTACACTACGAAAACCCGTGGAGGGACTGAGAAAATGGTTGGACGATTCTTGTGTGGGGAAAGTTTCAAAACGTTTATTAAGTTGCTCATCCTTAAATCCGAAGGCATGGTTGATGGGCAAATGTGGTGTTCGCGCGTGTGAAAGTTCTCTATATTTCCTTGGACATATCATCGAGGAATCTCATTTCACAAGGCAGGAACTCCAATACATCAAGTTGTGCTATTTTACCTTTTATGTTAAATATTTGAAATACAGTAGCATTTGTTTATAAATTCAATTTATTGTTTATAACGAGAGTTTTTTTGCAAACTTATTTGTGGCATAATATGTTGTGTGAATGTTATTTTGTGAATCTGTTGTCAGAATGGTGTAAAAGGGAATTTATGAGCAAAAATATTTCATTTATCATTCGACATATTTATGTTTGCTCATTTTTCTTTAAAATGAACTTATTTTTGTAATTATACTTTATAAATTTTGTACAGAGAACTGATTAAGTGTGAGAAGCATTATTAGTTATCTACATAGTATAATTTTGTTTTCACTAAGGAAATAACCTTGAAATATTGAACCAAAGGTACTTTTATTACCATTGAATTTATAACATTATCTATAATTTAGGGGAAGAAAATGTTTGAAGAGTTTTTTGGTATAAACTGCTGATTTACTGGTAAAAAAAATCTTCAAAACGTGACTTGAATTATACATATATTTTTTCCAAAGTTTGAATGTTTAAGTGGCTCAGTATTTCCTATGTAAGAAGTACTTAAATTATTGTATGATTATTTTCTTGAGAAAAAAAATATATAAAATTTTATTAATAGATTTGCATTTTTTATTTTCAAGCTTACTACAATTATGCTAATTTGTAAATATTTATAGAATTAAGATTGTTTATTGAATGAACAGTCTTGCGCCAAGGCGTACAACCAAATAGAATAAATTAAAAAAATTCTGAACAAATTTATATCTTCCTTTGATTCTTTCAGTAATTACTGTTGATGGTTTTCTGACACAGGTATTCCCTTTTTCTTAAACCATAGCTGTAAAACTATTCCGTGTACCCTGTTGTTGACGTGTAGGTAAACACCGTACACGACTGGAGTGCTTCATGTTGACAAATGTAGGGCCTGATTTAAACTGTTTGTCAAGTGAAAATCATCTACTTTAAGTAGCAGTCGCTTCTGCAGATACTAAAATGGCATTCGAGTATGGCTAAGTTTGTCTGAGGTAGGCCGAGAGAACAGTTTCTTAACATATCGCCAACGTTTCACACTTTAAACAAAAATGATTATATTTGATACTTGAAATAATCTTTGTATTTTCATAAGTATTTCAACTTTGATTGACATGTCCCTCCTTTTCAGTTTTAAAGTCAATACTAGAATTCAACATGTATTTCAAAAACTGATACACACTATGGTCTGAATTTCTCCCTTAAATTCGCTTTGTTTTACTGCTGGGTGTTGTGGTATATATAAGAAAATCATGATTGTTTTTACCTACCACTTTGACCGCCGTTTGGTCACTTTTAACAAACCATTTAGTCAATAATGGGAAGATGGGATTTACACTTATTTTCCATTATGTCTTGCCGTACACAAATTAATCCAGCCGTAACTGAATGCCATGTCTAATAAAATAGGCCTGAAGATATAGCTACCGGCCAACTATGTTACAACAGGACAAGAAGTACATAAAAGGTGCATCGTGTGTGTTTAAAAACCTAGAAATTATTTAAACAGGGTTTTCATCATAAAGCGAACTTTAAAAAGTTATATGGGAAATAAATAAATAATAATGAAATAAATTAAAGGCCCTACTACATTTAAACAAAAAGTTTAAAAGTCTCCATTCTGTAGACTTGTTTAGTTCAGATGATATTTACATGCAGTGTATATTTCACAAGAGAGGTAATAATTTAAAAAGTATCTTAAACATTTTGAACCATTTTGCAAGTTCTATTTCTGTTTACTGGAGTGACTTCTGGACGTGACAGAGGACACTCTGATTTATTGGGCGATATTTCAGATTTAACATACTCGATTTATTTTCGACATATTCACGGACGGATCTTTTAACATCCTCTAGTGAAAAACATACGTGTTCCGACCGGACTGGAGGTTAGCCCTGTGTCCTTAGCACTAGCCCTCGAACTAATTAAACGATTTAGCCGCCCTAGAAGTTTATGGCGGTATATGGCACCAAAATCTCGTTATCTTAATTTACTTGGCGTGAAACACGTGGTGAGATTCTGCAACTGCGACAAATATGATCCCGAGTTTTTACGCCGAAAGCAGTAAGGACGAATTAGCCTCGGAATAACTCTCCTATTATTGTGATGAGGGGGTTCTGCGACTTTGATAACAGATAGCCATATAATCGCCTGTAATCTCGTAAATCTGATTTTGTTTCATGTAGCGGTTTTCTATTGATAGCGGAAACTGTGCTAATCTAAAGACGATTAGACGACAACTGACCTCGGGGGGGAAAGGGATTGTTTTAATGTGCACCATTAATTACTGTTGGGGGTGGGGGAAACACAAATTCACTCGTGATAGGCTTTTTACTACGTAGTAGTTACATTTTGAATAAATATTTTAATAAAACTTAACATGAGAAGAGAATATTGAACTATATTTGAAAATTAATCAAATTGACCGATATATCCACAGGGAATTAATGATTAATGTTTTTGACCTTTCTAATTTTAATTTTTACATTGTACATCCTGAATTAACTGAGATGATATATTGTTTAAGCGCCTCTGTTACCCTAAACACGAAGACGGGTCTTTTTAAATAAATCATTTAAAGAATTAAAACATTAGAACCAATTTTAGATTGCGCAAGTTTCTGGGAGATTGTTTAAATACAATACTGAGATGTTTCATCACATAGAGGTAGTACTCCGGCCCCCTCTCCCCTATTCAGACATAAAAGCAAACTTGTTGAATTACATTTGATACGGAGTTTCAAAATATTTCTTTTGTGTGAAGGATCTTTATTGTTTTATTGTGGAGTTCTCAAATCTCAACATCATGTTAAACTATTAAAAACATACTTAAACGCATTCGGAATCATTTGAGCACCTACTTGATATTTCTTGAGAAACTTTTCAATTGTTTTATAAAATGAAAATTCAAAGAATGGAATTATAAACATGTACTTGTAAAATTCACTTCTTTTGAAAGTTGAACACAATATAAATAGAAAATACCACATTACAGAAACAGTTAATTCTATCAACATGGTTGTGGTTTGTCGGGGACAGAAATCTTGTGGAGTTCGTGAAACTCGGGTTGTAGAGTGAGTGAGCTGTGAGTCAGACCGACGTCATACAGGTATAGGCCAGGTGTAATATCGGCCCGGAATTAAAACCAGCCATCGGGTTATTTTCTCTGGTCGTTTGCAAGATGTCTGTTTATATGTCCAAACCCCGGCGTATAAGCCGGCCTGATATTCTGTATTTATATGTCTGTCCCGACCGGTGTTTATTTTAAATCGACGGCAGTTATAACCGGATACCTGTATGGCGAAAACGAGACGACTACTCCAAGTCTAAAACAAGTAGAACAAGTTTTTATAAATTAGATATCGTCATTTTCCACGAGTTTACGTTTAACTTGAGAAGCTATAACTCTTCTGACGGAATACATTAAATCTAATATGATACTACCCTGCGGTGATTACTGCTGTTAGAATTAAAATCCTGCCAAGTTCTAAGACGATCTTCAAGTTTCGGTATGACTTCATATTAAATACGAATATATTAGCGGAAAATTCTGTCCGCTTAAATGACGAGGGATATTTTTTTGATATTATTTTTAAATTGAAACTAATTCCACTGCTGTAGATATCTGCCTGGCTAGATAATAACTATTTAATACACTATTCGATAGATATACAAAACAGAAAATATGTTTTAACTGGAGGAGTTCATGGGCTTGTAACTCAAGAAAGAATAGTTAAAGCTGGTCATCAAGATGTGTATGAGATAACCAGATAGGCAGACGGACGGCGTGAGAGATACAGACGGACGGATGAAATAGACAGACAAGACGGACAAAGTAAGAAAGCGACTGATGGGAAGGTGAATGGTCACGAGAGGAAAAAATGTAACACAATTTGCTAACGCGTTGGTAAAGTGTTACTTTTGGAGAACGTATATGTTTATTTGAATTTTTTCCCCATTCTTTTAATAATTCCTTGGTACCTAGCCTCCTTATGTTCCTGTAAAGTCGCAGGAAACTATGTAACAGTGGAACAATGTAGAGACCATGAGTAACACTGTAGAGACCATGAGTAACAATGTAGAGACCATGAGTAACAATGTAGAGACCATGAGTAACCATGAGTAACAATGTAGATACTCCTATCAACATGATACTACTTCTTGTCCCTGTGATATTACTGGAAAACTCTTTTAAAATGCGAAGTATAATTTACTTCAATATAACTCGTCAATTATTCATGCTTGACACATATAATACACGGATTAGAAGATCTACTCTTTCTCCCGTAAGTTAGCTATCAACATCAACTGTCTATTCTGTTACCTTCTAAACCCCTCTAGTATTGGCAACAACAAGTGGTTGTAACACTGATGATAGCACGACAAGCGAGAAGTTACTCATCACGACACGTCGGGGATCCTGAGCACGACACGTGAGGAGTTACTCATCACGACACGTGAGGGGATCCTGAGCACGACACGTGAGGAGTTACTCATTACGGCACGTGAGGGGATTCTCATCATGACACATGGGGGATCCTGAGCACGACACGTAAGGAGGTACTCATCACGACATGTGAGGAGATACTCATAACGAAACATGAAGGGGTTCTCATCCCGACACTTGAGGACATTATCATTACGACACGTGCAGGGCTTCTCTGCGCAACACGTGTGATGATCCTCAGGTCTACACGTGAAGGGGTTCTGAGCACGACTCACTACATCATGATGGAATCTGATACCAAATGATTATTAAAACATAACTTCAATAAAAAGGGGGAAAAACAATCGTAGACACATTTTTCAGACTCGCTTTCAGATTGACCTGTTTTATTTTTACTGGGTATGAAATATTACGGTACACCCATTTTTGCTAGCACTGTCATCGTAAAAATTGATAATTTATAGCCGGAGTCTGAAGTACTGTGCATGACAGCACAGCCGTTTAATTTGCCGTGACCAGTTGGTAAATGGATATCTCGGTAAAATGGCGGTCATTTAGCAAAAACAAAAAGCAGTCGACATGTCTGTGCCCTGTACGGTATTTTGTAGGGAACAAGCCAACCTGTTGTCAATTGGCCTGAACTGTTCACGTTCTGTTGATTCAGTTATGTAAATATTGAGAATTTGTTTTAATTAAGATCATAGTAAGACTTGTATTAAACCTACTGGGGTACACTTACATGTATATATACACATCTACACACACCGACACCTACGTATATATACACAAATAAACACACTTTTAAAGGTATTATGATTCGTCACATTACGGAATAAAATGCACATTTGTTACTTTAAATAACTTAAAACTTCTCCAAGGAATAAAAACAACAAGACCAAGAAAAATATTTGATTCTAAACTTTGTCACTTCCAGTTTCATTATCTCAACAATTTAGTATTACTTGTTCAAGTTTGTCCGTGTTCGTTTTCACCGAATTAACAACTTAATGAAGGGATTGTAAAACTGCCCTACTACAGGCTTATACCTGTTGAAACAAATGTACAAATCAGAGCAATCAGGGGCGGTCAAGGGGTGTAGCAGTATTATCACCTAGGTCAAAGCGAATATTCATCAAATTTATCAGATATTTAAAAACCTGTCAGGTAGCTGATCTTGCTGGTAATATTTTCATTTTGCTGTAAGATTTCGCTTGAGTTTATCTTCTGAGAGTCGACGTGAAATTCGTTGTTAGGTAGAATTCCGTATTACTTTTAGCGCAGAG